CCCCATCCCAGAACTCATACACAACGAAAGAGAGGCCGTCAGGAAGCCGCACTGCAGTCACGCTGGAGAGAGAGAGCGAGAGAGAGAGCGAGAGCGAGAGAAAACGGATTAGGAGAAAACATCCAACATAAGTAGAGTGCAAAACAACTAATTTTCCTGCTAGGATTTAATGTAATGAAACAAAACAGTCTTTTATATTTCGGTTAAGTAACTTGGTAACCACAGGTAGTACTGTCATAAGTCATAATTTATACTCGTATGCAAGACTCCACTGGATGGCAGTAGTTCTTTGTATTGCATGCAGCTTACATCATATGTGTAGATAAACCTGACAGTGTGTATTGACCGCCTCACAGCTTTCATTAGAGGCAGTAATCCTGCGGCTAGTGCTTACAGCTCTGTTAATAAAGCACTGCACTACTTTATTGAACACACCACGCTGTGAATGTTCTAAATTAGCTTTATCAGACAACACCTGCTTAGAAAGAGAGCTACTGGACTGGAAAAGCTTTTGTGTGTGTGCACATTTGAGCAACTGAAAATCTTTCTCTGGTATACATGAGTGTGACTGAAATTTATGAATCCTTCATAAACTACAGTTTATGAGTGTCTTTCAATTGAATTGAACATCCCACCCAAAAACACTCTTAAGAAGGTAAAGAAATGAAATAAACAAGATGAATAAGATGCTGAAAAAAATGTTAGAGGGAGAATGTGTAAAAGGGGAATGACCCAGGAAATGAATTACATGTCAATTCCTGAGTAATGGGAACTATTCATAACCTGAACATTTCACTGATCCATTATTTAGAAGCCTCACGTGCATCATGATGGCAGTAAAATATTCTGTCAAAAACCTTAAGGTTTTATTAGACCAGATCCTTGAGGATAGCCTCTAAAAGACAGAACAAAACGAACTATTCCAAACATAAATATTCTTCTTTGAAAAAATATGTATAAGATGCACCCATCTGTGATTCGTCCATAACTTGTTTAGAGCCATATACACATGGACATGGCTTTGAGCCATTAAAATGTATTTCACACAAACACAGACATATGCTTAATTTATTGACTGGAGGGAAATTATTACAAAAATTATGAAATACCCCAAGTTAAGTGTGTTGCTTAATCTCTGCTTTTGACTATCACAACTGTGTAAGCAGTTCAGTAGCTGTTCCTGTTTGGAATCCCTTGCAGATGCCTTTTCAATATCTATTCATTAACTTAAAAAAAGCACACCATTAATTCCTTTTTGTGTGGAATTATTCAGTTTTGGTCATCAGATGCTCCTTGCTGGGGATCTCTTGTAATGAAAGAAATACTGTATAGTATACAGCAGGCTCTTGGAGCAAATTAAGGGCTTCGGAGCTTTGTTGTATTACTTCTTCAATTTTGTAAATGTGTTCCAACTTTCAGTCTTCAACTATTAAGACTATGTAACCTAATTAGATGATTTAAACTAAGCATAAATTCTCTGCTTGTCATGCTGCATAAATTTTAAGGTTTCGAAACCACATCAAGGTCACAGAATTACTTATTAATTCCTCCTTTTTAATCATTAATTCATGAGCTAAAATAACATCTGGCCAAACAGTGTTGCCTCTGGTTACCGGGCACCCAGTTTCACTGGAGTCTTCCTTTGAATCAAAGATAATGACAGAGTAAAATAAATAATATCTGGAAATGACATACACAATCATTTGATCATGGACCGCTTACAGATTATGGACAGTTTACAAAAGAAAAAATAATAAAGAAAGTAGTATACACAAGATGAAATTGGCTCAGATCATTAGTACATAAGTGTGCACGCACACACACTTACTGGAAACAGTCCCTCTGGGCAGAGACATTCTTCAGATACTGCTTCAGAGCCTCACAGAACTCTCCCAGCTGCTTCTGGGATACCTTCATCTCTTGGCGAATCAGGTAGAGGGACTGCAGGGTGAAAGAGGGAGAGAGATAATAAGGAAATATAACACATTAAGGAAATCAGTGGCATAGTGCTGGAGAAAATGAAAGAATATAAAGAATCAAATTGGCTAATGAGTGCCATCTCAAATCCCAGGCAATAATAACTATGCTCCCTGATGATAAGGTTTTATGAGGCATCTCACTTAAATGGGTTTAAAACGTATCTCATTTGTTAACGCATTTGTTTAAATAACATTCTGGCCACACCTCTTGAATTCTTTTGAGAAAAGAGCAACTATGAAAAAATAATAATTTCTATGAATATGAGATTCATAAGTGTACATAATAACAAAAAGGTTCTTCAAAGAGCAATTCATTATATACTGCACTGTTTAGAGCAAGAAGACTCTGGGTTTTTCAAGAAACCCAGAAAGATCTTGGCAGTGGGATCATTAGAATTCGAACTTGAACGTTTTTTTTTTTGTTGTGTCATTTGGGAGCCGCAAATGGAGTTTTAAAAAGAAATTCAGCTGTCCTTGATACAGCAGATGTGGTTTCTGTCACCATGTGTGAGACTAACCCAAAGTTAGTAATGGCATTAACTGTCCTGTCTGCTGCTCTTTCCCAACACAAACAAAATGTTCATAGAGCATGCATGGGCCAGTGTCATTTCTGCCCCGATGGACCTGTATTAGAACTTGTAGTTCCCACTAGGCCACTAGGTACAATTATAACTCTATGAGGCTAAATGGGGCAGTGAGCATGCTGCCCCATAATTGCACAGCATCTAGAAACGTGACCAAATCATTGGAACATCAGCTTATATCTTTCAAATAGCAAAGTTCTTTTAAATTGTTGGTCACTCAAATGAAGTACTTAATATTTCAGTGGAATTTAAACTGCAAGGAGTTGAGGAATTAGGACATTATGAAGATTAACATTTTTGAATGGCTGATATATGGTTGAGCTCTGCCCCGCCTGCCCTTTGGATGCACCGCCACTGTTTATAATAATGTGAATAAATTCACCTATATTCAAGATATTTTAATTTGTTAATATGACATTTTTGCTATGTGATGATGTGGCAGTTGGTTGAAATCTGCACTGATACATCCCTACTGTATATCACTGAGATTGTGTATCCTCAAATAATGTTCCTAAGAGGTCTTTGATTGTCTAACTTTTCCCCCAGGGAGGAGTAACAAAGAGTCGTCCTGTTTTACAGCACAATTACAAAGGCTAGTTTCCCAGGGCCTGGACAAGAAGCAAACTGAATCCTGGAAATATAAATTGTGAAATTTCATCAACAGCACTATGCAACACAACACACCTTAAAATGCAATCAGGAAAGCTCTATTACTGATCCCAGCCCACCGTCAGTCACAATAACCACATGCCCTTTTTAGGGAGTAGAAATTCAGTTCAAGCTTGAGTAAAACAAGGTTTTGTGATCTTTTTCCCTTGATTTTTAACCATAGTATTATTTTGAAAGGGCTCAATTTGTACTGACTGACTTTCATTAGTTTGTTAGTTTTCTTGAACAGCAAGGAGCCATCAAAGGCTAGGCTAAACCCCAGTGAGCTTGTCGGACTGTGTGAGGATGCCTCATAAAGTAACCATAAACAATCACTGTGCTCAGTGGGAGATCTTTGTAGTCTGTTAAAACCCTGAAGGCTAGCAAATTACAGTTCATAATATTTTTTCACATATTTCATATTCTTCACCTTCTCTCTATAGCTTTTTCTTATTAAATTATCTGACTGCAGGTTGTATTTGCCCAGGATTTGCATGTTGCTTTGGATGTTATATGCTATGCTTTATTCAGAACACCTGCAAACAGACACTACACTGAGTCTTGAGCACTGAGTAATGAGAATTTTATTTCCCCTTCTCAGTGTATGAGGCATGTCTATGCTCTATGCTGTCAAAATGTATATTCTATTTATAAGTAAAAAAAAAAAAAGCTTTATGGGACTACAGCGAGTTTTTGTTGCATTTTAATAATGCATGAAATTAAACTGTCTGAAAGTGGTTCTTCATGCTTTGAGCTCTATTGCTAGTAGAAGTTCCTGTGGGTCTATATTGTAGCGTGTGAGTGGAACGATGTGTGAGATATGGTCTACATTGGGAGTCGAACACAGGGATGCAACCTCAAAAGAAGTGTATGGAAATTTCAGTTTCCATGGAAACTGGGGAATACCATCCTCCCTCTTTTTCTTTCTCTCCCACATTCCACCCATCTCTCCTGCTTTTGGAATGGTGTGTAAATCACAGGTTCATTTCCCCCCTCATAATCATTTGCATATATACTGAGCTCCCCTTAAACAGGATTAAAGGGACTAGACTTGGAGAATGGAATGGATTGAGCATTGATAAAGTAAGCTTGCATCTTAGGCAATGCACGTGCTCTTTCTGCAGCCCTCTCCATGATAATGGCCCTAAATGAGCAGAACGGCTTTCAGATAAGCTGTTATGTATCTCCCTCCAGGGTTTTCAATTTCTCTCTCCTTCTCACTTGCTCCCCTGCCAACCTCTGCCAAGCTCTTTCTGTCTCTCTCCCTGCCTCTCTCCTCCTGTCTTTTCCCTTGTTCTTCCTTCATATTGACAAGCCTGATGATGTATATGCCTGTATGCAGGTCTAGAAGAGGCATGCATGGAGACCATTAAGGCCAGTGAAACCTAGAATACTGCATAGTGAAGCCTTAAAAAATTGCTGAGGCTACAGCTAGACACAGCAGTGAAGCCACAAAAGACAGTCAGAACGTTTACTCAAAAGCTTTCCCTCCCAGGAGGAGCTTGAACAGAAGATAGGACTGGATAGCCTGCTTATCAAGCAGATTCAGGACTGGCATTGACAAGCTGTCCAATTAAAGGGGAGCTATTACAACGTCTCAGAGTGTTTAGTATACCTGCTTAATGCTAGAAACAGGGTCATGTGGTACATCTACTGGGGTTGAGAATCTTTAGGTGTGGGCATAACTCATCCATTACCTCCACAGTGGAACAGGTCTACACAGTAGGAGTGTAAAGCTAAGCCACTCTGGGCTTGGAACTGGCACTGAGAATGCAGCCCCAGTAGCTGGTGCCCAGGGAGGGATTCAAACCTACAATCTTCAAAGATCAAGAATGCCATGCTCTACCAACTGAGCTAGCCGGGAGCCTGGGCATGGCCTACATCACAAGGGTTTTTTCCCCCTCACTTTCAGTAACTGCTGGTAACTATCCTGGTTAGGGTTGTGGAGTGTTCGGTGGGAGTGAGATGAGATGCTAGACCATCATAGGGCACCATCCACACACACATTCACACCTGGGGGCAAGCTATAGTAGCCAGCCCACCTACTGGTATGTTCTTGAAAGGTAGGAGGAAACCAGAGAACCCAGAGGAAACGCATGCAAACATGAGAAGAACATGCACAGAAAGTCCACCCACCAGAGCTCAGGATCAAACAAGGACCCTAGAGCTGTGAGGCAGCAACACTGACTGCTTTTTTTTAATTAAATGTGAATCCTACCATTACGCCCCTGGAAACACTGGAAAAACACAAGGATGCTGAAAAAAAAAGTAAAAACATTGATGTCTTTCAAAACAATAACGTCTTTACCAAATCAGGGAACTTCTGTCTGTAGTTGACAACAGAAGCCACTTACTAATATTTCTATCAGATTTACTTTAGTTTTGGGGTTTTGTTGCGTTCCAGAACGATCAGAAAATTTCAACTGGACATCCTATGAGAATCTACTACAACACTGGGAAGCAGTGCTACTGCTTCTCCTGCCATTATAATGCCTGTATGACTTTTCAGTAAGATTTTCATTTAGCAAAGATGAAGAATGATGAAAAGTAGAAATATGTTGCCCTGTGCACAGTGTGTGGTCTGCGTGGGTTATATTGAGTGGCAGCTCTATAAATATTTCTTTTGTGAATTTCGAGCCAGTTTGTATAGAAATATGTTAGAAATATGCTTTTCTTTGGAGCTCAGTAAAGCAGTATTTGGATCAGGCTACCGGAGCCAACAACAGAAGACAAACAAACAAACAAACAAACAAAAACAACAGGGTGCCTCCTAGTTTTTTATCTGTATTTGTATCTGTTTACATTTTGTAACGTTATCTGTCCTTTCTGAATAATGTATTCATATTTGGTCACATCTCTACTGAATAATAAGTAAAAATGTTTCTGAAATATTCCTTTTACGACTGAGTAAACACAATGCAACAAAAAAATGCATGCAAATATATTCAAATAAGCCAGTGATAGCTGCTGTGAATGCTGTGGCAATTAAGTGGGATAACAGCCAAATGTGCCAAAGGGCTATAATTAAGCAGCCACTGAAACTACAATCAGCAAAGTGATAGAAATCAGCAAAAGCTTTTTTAATGACTGTGAGGCAGTTTAACTCAGTTTAAGGCGTGACCTCGTACTGTATTGCATGGTATTTTATGATTTACAACATGAAACATCCTTTCATTTTGTCTTGTGAGTTTGCCAAGTGTCAATCAAATTAATATGACACTAATGATCAACAGTTTTACTTCAAAAGCAGTTGTTTTTCCACTCACTGTGCATTTACAAGCATTATAACATCAGACTCGTTTTTTTTTTTTGTTTCAGATGCTTGTTAACTCTCAGATGTGAATAATAAAGCAACTTTGTCAAAACTGTAAAAAAATATCCCTTAGGTCCATTCTACAACAAATAATCACACACACGCACACACACACACACACACACACACACACACACACACAGAGCTGGAGCCATCATGCAGCGCTAATTCTATTTGTGCCATGACAACTGAGTGTAAAAGCTAACAAGGATTAATGGGGGTAAAGGAAGAGTGATTCAATTTCCTCACAACCCTGCATGCACCACATATATTTGTGCAAATCAGAGGCAGGATGCAGATAAGCTCACTATCCATGGATCTCAGAGCTGTAGTTTGGGTGGGGGGAGCCGAAGCGCAGTTGCACTGCTGCTCCATTAACATGTATTTTTTATCAGCAACTGTGCACAGTGCTTCCATGACCCACCAGCTCCCTACCATGCTAACCCTGACATACCAAAGAGCATCAGTTCTCATGAACAATCCATCATTTCTGACACAAGAACAGAGCACATATGCTGCAAATACAAAAGGATATTCACATGTAACAGATATAACAGATGCGAATGTATGAATTGTGAATTTTTATCCTATTGGAGGTGCAGTGAAGTGGTGTCATAGTGCATGACCTTCACTGAGGTTTCATTTCCCATTCTGCATTTTGTAAAGGAAGTCATTTAGTTTTATGAAATTCCAACAATCACGCAACCTCTGACAATTATCAGACCTACTCAAAATGCTAAGAACCAAATGCCTATGCATATCTTTTCCTCTAAGAAGGGCAAAAAAACTCCTTTGGGCCAAAAAAGCAATTAAAGATTCATGGAATGCTCTGTCTATGGACCGCAAAAGCAGCTTTTTGCTAAGCACTTAGAAGGTTGGACTGATAATGTACCAGGTTGCTTATGGCTGTCATGCTTGAGGTTATGGGGAAGAAATGAATGTAGAAACATTCGATGATTGTATGAATGGAGATAGATCTGTAATGTATTCCTCAGACGTGGCAGGTCGGGTGCTAGTGTGTGTCACAGCATGCTAGGAGTTGCTGTGTATTGTCTTCAAATAATCCGTGTACAGCTCATAATGCTACCACCAAAAGTAGGATCTTAGAAATCTCATGCAGCCAATTAAGAAAAGTCCAGGGGAAAACATCCAAATAATGGATGGATGCCATGTTCTACATGCATGAGGTCTGCCCCAGTACTTACTGCGCTAGCTGTACCGTCAGTGTCGGTTAGCCGCTGATGCAGGTCAAACCAGACTGTCTGTAACAGGAATAAAGACAGAAGAACCACTCGTGAAATCAGTTTTGCTCCTCAGTTGTTTTCGGCTGCAGCTACTTATCCACACAGACCTTGAGGTCAGAGAGATAAGTGCATGCTTTAACCATAAGCGCCTGCTTTCTCAGTCTGGGTACAGAAATGGATCAAACGTTAGCAAAATTGCTTCTCGTAATACAAGCTTCCCGCTGCCAGGTGGTATTCTAACAGAAATAAATAAGTTCCTTTCATACCATCATAAACCCTCTGAAAGGTTTTAATTCTTATATTTTTACTTATATTTTTACTGTTTTATAATTATAAGATTGAGATTGAGATGCAACTTGAGATATGCTACATGAAAACATGCTATTATATTACATTTATTATTAATAATTATTATTAATTACATGATTATTATGAGTTATTTTTGCAATTGATTAACTTATGTTTAACTATCAAAGAAAGTTACAAATTGTTGGTGCTTAGAAAATATTCAACATGAGTCACATGCCATCACTGGTCACTCCAACTCATGTAGTTTTTAAAAAAAACTGCTGTTCAACCTCGCTTTTTTCAAATGCATAAAATTAAGCTGCAAATCAGATGTTAATTTTTCTGCCAATCTCTCTGGTTCAAACACAACACACACAAAAATAACTTGTATTGTGAATAGGAACAACCCATTTTGGAAGCAAAATAACATGCACCACCCTTAATAATGCTACTGATTCATATTCAGGCCTCGCAAGTCTAATGCAAAGTATGCCATTGGGAAACTGCATAATAAACTTAAAAGTCAGAGTATTCCTGCAACAAGCCTCTGAATACATAAGTAATAATTCATGAATTATGAATTCTATAAAGGTTATGCACAGTCTTGACCTAATAAATGATTTGTTCAATTTTCCAAGAATATTTGAGCATTACTTACACTTTTTTTTTTTTTTTTTACACATAGTTCATATCAAACAATTTTTTTTAAGACAGATAAAGCTTATTATCCAGATTTTCATACTTGGCTAGAGAATGGATAGGACACATATAACAACTGACAGACAGGATTAGTATTAATTACAGCTTAATCACTATTATAACTGGACAGTCTATTTCCCATCAGATTAGAAGGTCCTGCTTCCCTGATTACTGTTGTGTTTAACGACTCAAGCAGGCTGGGCAAAACAGATTTACGATACACTGTTCGCTCAAGCTTAAGCAGAAGTGTTGCCTAAACAGACACATCTGGATGGCTCGATCTCCCCCCAGTCAGATATCTGGAAGCATGAATTTGGAAGAATGAAATCAGATGGAAGTAAAGCCTCATCTATATCATGCTGAATATTAATTAGGGTTCTTATGAGAGGAGCACATAGGTAAATAGACAAATGTTATGCTCATAAATTTATGTATGTAAAAATCTAGCTCTGTCTACTTTCTCACCATGAGAAGCATTTTCACACCATTATATGAATGGAGTGGATGAAGACTAAGATCTACTGTCAGCACTCTCCACTCGACTGAAAGAGCTGAATGCATAATGGCTGCTAATGATGCTATATATCTGCAGAGATCTCCTGTAGAGGCCGGAGATGATGGCTTATCCATCATGCGATGGATGGGTCAGGATGGCAGTCACTGTGGGGGTGAATGGCAGGAGATGCAGGGATGGAGGTCTTAAGGACGCCACTGCAGGAAGTGATGGAAATGCGTTTTCCCCGAGCAGTGGGATTGCATTATACAGATAACAAGAGCTCTGTGATGAGAGTGAAGCCTCATTCAGCTGCAAGCCCGAGCTGGTCAGGCTGTTCCTCTCTAACCCAGTGGTTGTATACCATCATGTGCTATGATCATTATTGCAGAAGATGGACTGATATCCTCCTGTACCCATTTATGTGGCAGCACATTGCATGGTCTGATGATTAATTCCTTAAGCTCATGACTTACTATAGTTATTATTCATCTTAAAGCATATTACTTAATATGTACTATGAATCATTCAGTAACTACAGTGAAATTAAATGGATAGATATGTAGTTATGAGAGTGAGAAATAAGAGTCGGAACCCATCAGCAAGGCCTGGGAGTAAAAGAAGTATATGCAAGAGCTCCGAAGAGCTTCACTAAGATGGTTGATTATAATCAAATTAAATGATGAAAATGTAATGTTTCTGAGGAAGAGTAGCTAACAGTCAATAACGAAGCATTAATTTTTCACTGAGGTTAAGAAGTAATCTCATCAAGAATTTGTTGTAATTATACAGAGCATTTTTGTTGTATGAAACTACAACGTTTAACA